GTAGAGACAAAAAGAAAATTTTGCTGAAAAATTACATCTAATGTATCTGCTCTTTCACGATCAGACATTGATCTTTATCATATAGGCTGAAATTGATGGGTATTTAGAAGACTCAATTTTCTTCATTCTAACGATGGAGATCGAGTTTGAATGATTGGATTTTCGGTACTTTTAGTTCAAAGTTACTATTCAAGTTTTTCTTCTCTGCATCGACCAGTTTGACTCTCTCCGACGATTGGATGGATATTTGTGGTTTGATGAGGCTGAAATTTGATGAGCATGTTCGGGATAATTATTTTTTAATCTGAACGGTGGAGATCGGATTTAAACAATCAGAATGCATCCGTTTTGCATGAATAGTAGCTGCTTTTGTGATATTTCTCCATTCCCTTGTTTATCTCTTGTTGTTTAGTTGATTTGTTATTGAGTATTTATTTGAAGATTATATTGATTGCTGTAAACACTAATTTTTATAGTGGAGCTCTTTTTACTTTGACCAGGAGAGGTCCCGTATTTTTTATCTTTCATATTGAATGGGTTTTCAACGTTAAAAATTTTGGAGTCTTTGTGTGATTGTTTTTGAGCATCTTCGGGTAGATCTTATCATGTTTATTTTGACTGAATTTTTGCTTAATTTTTACTCCTCATAGATTCATTCAAGTGGTTCCCTACAAGTGATATCAGAATCAGGTTCACTAATTCATTGGTTGATTATGTATTTTCTTTTGCTTGTTTGAATGATGGAGGTAAATGTGAGTAAAATAGTTTGTTTGAATGACACAAATTATTACAAGTGGAAAGAAAAAATGAGGGATCTTTTTGCTGTGAAAATGTTGCATTTACCTGTGTTTGCTCATCAAAAACCTGAGTCTAAATCCGATGAAGATTAGGAATTTGAGAACTTACAAGTATGTGGTTTTATTTGACAATAGGTAGAATATAATATGATGGATCATATTGCTAATGAAACAAATGCCAAAATTTTGTGAGAAAAGGTTGAAACCTTATATGCTTCAAAGAGTGAAAATAATAAGTTATTCTTGGTTAAACAAGCTATACACTTACAATATAGAGAAGGTAGTTCTATACTTGATCATGTGAATGAATTTCAAGATATCTTTGATCAAATGTCTGACATGGGTGTCAAATTTGATGAAGATGTTATTGGACTTTGGTTGTTGACTACCATTAAAATTTAATTGCATGTTTCAGGTGCCGTACTTCGTTGATCCCAACACTGGCACCCAGAGTGGCGACTACAAGAAGATCTTGTCTTATTTGTTCAATACCTATTCAGCGGCCAACTTATAGTCTTGGCATTCATTATTAGATGTTTTACCAAATTGATATCAACTAAGGTGTTTTCAGTCCATCACCTTCTGTGAAAAAATGGAATAGCTCACAGATGATGACACAGAATAGAAATCATCAAAGACAAAAAAAGACATGTAGTTTATGAATATTGTCCGGTAATCTATTGTGTTTCCTGCCATGATTGTCAATCTTGGTTCCGAATGCAAGCTTAGAGTTCATACTTGTCAACTCTATGGGTTGGAAAAAATATCTCAACTTGATTCGCTGGTTGT